AGCCAAAACTGGACTCCAGAAAGCATGTGAACATAGAGGCTTTTTTCAATGTGTAGAAAGGCCCAACTAGGTTTTGAGTCCTGTGGACATCCCACTGGTTCTGAACTCCACATGTGATGTAGGTGTACCTGCACATACCACCAAGGAAGAAGATGATCCAGAATGTCTTCCATTGATGCTCACAATTCACCTAGATCACATCCAAACCAGTAAAAAATGTTTTGGTCCTGGAGTGCAGGGTAAATATGTGCTAATGGAAAATGACCCCAGTCTATGTTCAAGAAAACCAATAAGTTAGATCCAAAGTCTAGATTCAGTTGAGGAAAGGGAATCTGTCCTCACAGAATATCCAGACCAATCTGTCCTTCTGCTGGGGATCCAATTTCCAATTGAGAAATAAGATCTGTCCCTCCATAGACTCGGGAAGAAAATACTGCCTTTAATGAGGAAGTAGATCCTTTTGAGGACTCTGAGGCAGAATTTGTGTCTGAAGCCAACTTAGAAGACAATCCAGATTTAGAGATTGCTTCCCCCCTTCTTTAGAAAATCGTTATATTTCTTTTTGGTCCTGATTGTTGTAAAATGATCATTCTAGTTATTTTTCTAAAGTTATTAAAATGTCAGTGTTTATGTTATATTATATAATTCATGAGCCTTAAATGTGTTTTTTTTTCAACCTACAATGTAAAGCACCATGCACATGTGTTCTGTGTGTGGGAAAACAGAGTGACAGTGGGATGAACAAGAGAGCCTATTGGATATAAAGGGAATGGTTAAATGCACAGGGAGTTGCAAGGAAGCCAGGCCATGCCTGCATGGGGTGATAAGGTGGCTAAAAAAGATCTAGGACATACCAGATCAGATGACCTAGAAAGCTGTTCTGTCAATTGGGACAAATGCCACAATACTTATAGTGGTATGTGGGACTTTCTTCCAACAGTGAGTTCAAGTCTGTATACATATTCATTGTGCTTTGGGAAATATTGAAGAAAAATATGGCTCCATTAACATAAAAATTCTACTTAGGGCTGAATATATTTGACAAAATACATAAGAAATATCGACACTGGAAAGTATAAGCCATCATCAATAGAAGAAAGAAGGCTTATATAGATCGACAAACACAAAATCAGGGAGCAATTAAATCAGTTATATGGAAATACATGTTATATTCATTACATTTTATATAGTATATTATATGATATGTAAGATCAAATATGATTTTTCATACTACAAGGGCTTTTAACTTTTTCAATCTTAAGTATTTTTTCACATAATATTAGTGTAAAATATTATTGGGGAAAGTGGTAATATAACTTTGATTATAATTATATGAATATATATTTTTGTGTTTCTAGATATAACACTGATTATAAATAGATGGATAAATAAAAACATATATTTGTATATCTGTCTATGAGGTGAATATAATGAAACAGGCTACACGATGTATAAAAAGGCAGTTATGAGTTAGTATATGAGACTCAGGCCTGTAATCCTAGTGATGTGGGAAGCTGGGTTCTGAGTTTTAGTTTCTCTTACCCCCATGCCATTAGATTTTCAGAGAAGACCTGGTCCCTCGAGTGTAGCCAAGCGACACGTATGCAGTAGGATCACATTCTGTGACCCCAGAGGAAAGTCAGTAGAAGTCAGGACAAGCCTCTTATGCTATGACAGTCTACTCAGTTCCTGTGACAAGATGGCCATCTGTAGAACATCAGATGGAAAGTTGGCATTCCCTCCCAAAATGTTTTTGACTATCCTGAATTAAACCTTATTTCCCTTCCCAAGTTGCAAACACATAGAAATATGCCAAGGGCTCAAGAGAGATGGACAAAGACTTACAAATACATAAAATTATATACTTTTTTTTGGGTCCGGTTGTCAGCTTGAACTCTGGGCCTGGGTGCTATCCATCAGCTCTTCAGCTCAAGGCTAGCGCTCTACCACTTGAGCCACAAGGCCACTTCCAGCTTATTTTCTTTTTACTTATGTGGTTCTGAGGAATCGAACTCAGAGCCTCATGCATGCAAGGCAAGCACTCTACCACTAACCACCTTCCCAGCCCCAAAATTATATACTTTGTTTCAGTAATTCAATGACAAATCATCAAAGGCATATCTTGAATTTTCTTTTTTTAATGGAAATGGGAATATACACTGAGTGCATTAGGGAGTAAGTGACAGTTAGGATGCTGAGTTGTGGAATTGACTCCTGGGCATGGGAGACACTTGCCTTGGAGAACTTGTGTGGAGATGCGTCTCCGCACACAGTTTCACAAAACAATGCCCATAACTTGTATGATGTCATAGCCATCTTTCCATAGCAGCAAATAGGTGTCAGGCACTGATCTTGCTCTGAGGCGGACTCAGCAACACAGAAAGGCACAAAGAATGAGAGGGAATGACTGCTAGCCACCAGACGTCAGCTTCAAGAGCCGTCTTGACCAGAAGCTAAGATAAATTGAGCTGGAGAAGGCTGATCCCTATGCAAGGCTCCTGAGCACTAAGGACCAGGCACTGTTATAGGTGTTGGAGAAACAAGTGAATGTGGCTCTCTCCTCATCAATTTCATGCTGAAAAGAAAACCAGAAATCATAATGATAATTTTTATAAATCAGAGACATGACATTGGTAGTTTTGTGGCAACAACTTCACAGCGGTTATGTGAGGAGATATTCCTGAGGTGGAGATAGTTAACCTGAGAGCCATCATCCATGCAATTAACTAGAAGCAGGTACTCCAGGCAGTAAGAGCAGCAAGTACATCCCTCATTGATGGGAAAGGATGTAACTTGCTTCAGAAAAGGAATACATCACTGACGTGCTTGCTTGTGAAGTAAGAATAAAAAGGTACAATGAAGAAAAAAAGATCAGACATGAAGATCTGAATAAATTATATAGATATTGGATGCTGCGAGTTACAAGAAGAAAAATTCTGATGTTATTCTAAATCTGAAATAACCCACTGGAACCAAAATGCTCACATAGTACCTAGACACATCTGATTCACCTAGAGAATACTTTTAAAATGTGATTCTAGCCAGGTTCTGGTGGCTCACAACTGGAATGCGAGCTACTCGGGAGGCCGATACCTGAGGATCACGTTTGAAGCAAGCCCAAAGAGGAAATTTGGAAATACTCATCTCCAATTAACCACCAAAATTATGGACTTGAAGCTGTGCTTCAACTGGTAGAGCACTAGCCTTGAGAAAAAATTAAAGGACAGCACCCAGGCTCTAGGTTCAAATCCCTGGACTTCACAAAACAAAAAGTCAACAAATAAAATTTGGTGCTCAGTCGATCATCACTTAGCATTCTACTTCAATGTATTTAGTATGAGCCTAGGAAGTTACATCTTTAGCAAATGCTCTCCCCTCATATTCTGCTTCATTACCAGTATTCAAACCCCTGGCATTACCAAAGTCTCCTCCCAGTTAGCATAGCAGTCTACCACTGGGAATTAATAGATATATTTTTATTAATCATAATCTAGCCACACACATCAAATGAGTAGTAGCCACATTCCACTATTCTGAATGTTTTTTCTCCCCCTTTGAGTTAATAAACCTTACCATTAAAAACTATAGAATACTTATTAAATTAAGTCAACAGTCATCATTCTTCCACCCAATCTTGTAACCTAATTTATGTGGTTTTTTTTGTTTCTTTGATGTTGGTGCCCTGTATCTTGTATGTACATTTCTCTAGCTTTGGGAGGTGAAGGGAAAAAACCAAATGCTTAACTAGGGATAAAGTTGGACCCATTTTAACAATGAGATCAAGACACTATGTTCAAAAACGAACTTTACAATTTAGGCAGGGAGTGGGAAGGAGGGATGGAAAGAAGTAGTTGTGGAGGTGGAAGGGTAGGGATGGTAGGGGAAAAACAAAGGAGGAAGTATCAATGCTTGAGAGGAAATGAACTCATTACCTACCTTATGTAACTGCCATCCCTTTGTACATTATTTTTACAAAAAAAACGTATTAAAAAAGATGAAAAGACCCAGAAATAAAACTACATACTTACAATCATCTGATATTCGACAAAAGAGTGAAAGATGTAATGTGGAAAAAACATAGCCTTGCCGGGTGACTGTGGCTCATGCCTTTAATCTAGCTAATCAGAAGGCTGAGATCTGAGAATGGTTGTTGAAAGCCAGCAGGGCCAGGGAAGTCGATGAGACTCTTAGCTCCAATAAACCACAAGAAAATGGGAAGTGGAACTGTGGTTCAAGTACTAGCCTGGAGATGAAATGCTGAGGGGTAGCTCCGAGGCCGAGGGTTCATGACCGACACACGCAGACACAGACACAGACACACAGACAGACAGACAGACAGACACACACACACACACACACACACACCCCACACATACACAGACATCATAGCCTCTTCAACTATTGGTGTTGGGAAAACTGGACATCAATAGCCAGAAAACTGGAAGTGGATCTCTGCTTGCACTAACATCAACTCAAAATGGATTAACTACATTAAAATCAGCCAAACTACTCTAAGACAGAAAAAGGGTGACATTAGAACTTATAGGTACTGAGGTGGAAGCTGGGCAGCTGCACGCCGAGCACCGGTAGTTGCGCTCCAGATCCTGCAATCTCACACTGCGTGCCTCGACCCAGTAACTGCTTACTCCAGTTGGCCCCTGCAATGGGCGCCATGCTTCCTGCGGCGCCCGGTGCTCAGGGCAGCTCTACTCACCGCCCTGGCCCTGCTCCTCAGGCCACCGGTGACGAGGGTCCCATCTTGCAATGCGAGCATTGTGATGGGATCGCGCTGGCCCAGTGCGAGCCTCTGCCTGCAGTGCCTGCGTGTGCCGAGCTGGTGCGCGAGCCAGGCTGTGGCAGCTGCCTGACATGTGCTCTGCGGGAGGGCCAGCCTTGAGGTGTCTACACAGAACTCTGCAGCTAGGGGCTCAGCTGCCAGCTGCCACCAACCGAGCCACGCCCACTGCAGGCGCTGCTGGATGGCCGCGGGTTCTGCGCCAATGCCAGCGTCCTGGCCGGCTGAGCGCCTACCTGCTGCTGGCGCCCTCTGCCTCAGTGAGTCAGAGGAGGACCTAGGCATGGGGAGCTTGGAGAGCCATGCCCCTCCCAGCACACATAGGGTGCCTGACTCCAAGTTCCATTCCATTCACGCGAAGCTGGACACCATCAAGAAAGGTCACACAAAGGACAGCCAGCACTACAAAGTCGACTATGAGTCCCAGAGCACGGACACCCAGACCTTCTCCTCGGAGTCCAAACTGGAGATAGAATATGGTCCCTTCCTTAGAGAGATGCAAGACACCTTGAATCACCTGAAGTTCCCCAATGTGCTGAGTCCCAGGGGTGTGCACATCCCCAACTACGACAAGAAAGGATTTTATAAGAAGAAGCAGTGTCGCCCCTCCAAAGGCAGAAAGCGTGGCATCTGTTGGTGCGTGGACAAGTATGGTCAGCCCCTCCCAGGCTTCGACAGCAAGGGCACGGACGACTTGCACTGCCTCGGCATGCATAGCCAGTAGACCCCACTGCATCAGTTAAATTAGAGCTCCAATACGCCTTACTTTACACAAAAGACTGCCACGGACAGAACAGTACCTGCCTACAGCCTCCACTTACATTACTTTTTGTGATGACCTGGTTTTTTGTGTGTTTTTTAAAGAAAACCAAAGTTTAGACAGAGATTTTAGAAATGTCTATTGCTCCTTTAAATGGTAAACTTGAGCATCTTTCCACTTTTCAGTAGTCAGAAAAGAAAATTAATTTCTCTGTTGCTTTCTGTAAAAATAACTGATTCTCCTGCCCAAAGCAGCGGACTTGATCCCCTTCTAGAAACCTCTCCACATCTGCCCATTGGAACAGCTGACCTTCTGCCTCCCTCACTTCAGTGGCTATTGTGGAAGACACCTCCTCATTGCCCTCCACACTGCTCAGGCCTCATGGAGAACAGGAAGGTCAGAAACTCAAATCACCTGGACATCTCTACCATACATGAGACCCCTGGGCCTCCTGATACTATCTTTGATTCCAAGCCATGGACCCCTGGGCTGCAAAGCTTCTTCATTATCTGCAAGTGACTTGATCTGCTTGGAAAATACTGGAGAGATTGAGGTGGAATATAACTGACCAAGAAAGTTCTATAAAACTGACCCAAAAAAGTTCTAGCACATTGTAAATGCAGATCTTTCTGACCTCCCTCCATTAGGCAGCTTTTCAAGGATGGAGCCCAGTGGAAGGCCCAGGGTGGCCTTGCTTGTGGTCCAGCAGGGCATGGGGGAGGCTGGGGGTGTACCCCACACCTCACAGGCCTCACCAGTAATGGATTAATCGCTCTGGAGACAACAACAACAACAACAAAATGTTTTCTAATTTAACTCCTAGTTTGGGGTTGAGGATAATAAACTGTTTAAAGGCAAAAGTTTATTTTCACCCCTCATCTTTATTCTTCACCTAACAAAACAATGGTGTTTAATGTTATCTAAACAGGAAAGATGAACAGCTTGTTGAGAGAGCCTCATAGGGCACTGGGAACATGTAGCGAATACCTTGTGTTTGTTGAACTTGGAATCCAACTCATACTTTATAATTCACACATATATGCAGAGAGAGAGAGATATGTTCTCAATGGTTAACATTGTATACAGCATAGCCCAACTATAATAGGATTCATACTAGATAATCCTAGATAGTGTTAATTACTAGAAGGTGTAACTATGGCTGTGATCAGGAGAGGACACTCAGTCCAGGCTGGGCTTTTCTCTCCCCAAGGCCAAACCCATGGCAGTGTTGGGTGTGTGGCGATTGTCCTGCCCTACACAGCAGAGAGCTCTCCTTAAGAACAAAAAGAGGTCTCAAGACAGTCTGCCAACCTATTACGAGCTTTCCTTTATTTTTTAAATTTTTTGGGGGGGAAAGTATTTTTGAAAAATTTTGTCTTGCAATGTATTTATAAAAGTAAATAAAGTTTTACCATCAAAATAATAATTAAAAAAATACTTTTAGGTACTGGCATGAACTTCCTGAATAGAATCCCAGAGGCATAACAGATAGGAAAGAGACCCAACAAATGGGACTACATCAAAGGAAAAAACCTACACAGGCTAGAGACATAGCCACTAAACTAAAAAGACAGCCAACAAATTGGGAAAAGATATTAACCTGCAATACATCAGACAAAGGGCTAATTTTCAATGTATACATGGATCTCAAGAAACTACCCCTCCCAAAACTAATAAACGAATCACCAAATGGGCAGAGGAGCTAAGGAGAGACTTCTCATAAGAAGAGGTAAGAATGGCAAAGAAACATATCAGGAAAGGTTCATCATCCCTGGCCATAAAGAAAATATAAATCAAAGTAATTCTGAGATACCATCTTATCCAAATATCTTGAATTAGACAACAAATATTGGGGGGAAAGTGGAGAAATTAGAAAATGGCAAGGACATTTGCACAACCATGTTCCTTGCTGCTCAATTCACAGTGACAAGAAATGTACACAACCCAGATGCCCCACAATAAATGAATGGAACCAATAATTATGCCATCTATATACAATGAAATTTTACAGAGCCATTAGAAAGGATAAAATAATGTCATTTGCAGGGAAATGGATGACACTAGAATAAATCATGTTAAGAAATTTAGCCAACATCAAATTGACAAATGGTACCTGTTCCCCTGATATATGGAAGAAAGGTTTAAAACACCATGGGATATGATATACTGTACAGGATTCTAGACATCATTTACAGTAAGAACAGAAGAGGAAGCATTTGGCGAAAATCACAAAGTTATAATACCCAAGCACCTTTTCTACATAATACTATATATATATATATATATATATATATTGAATTGCAATGATAAGGAAACAAAGGAACTTTTCTTAATTTGTCTTTTCATTTTCTAATGAGTCTGTATTCTTCACCTAATATACAGGGAAGATGGGGGAAGGGCACAGAATTAGTGGGAAGTGGGTGAAAAAAGGCAGCAGCAGAGCCCTCTGGCTCTACTGGACATTGATGAAAGTGAACCATGCAAGTCGAGGGTCAAGATGGGAGGGAGGGTATGGAAGAGAATGTGGGAACAGATGAGATTATGTAAAAGGAAGGAAATGTACTAGTTACCTGACATACAGAAAGGTAACCCTGCTCTATATAGCCGCTAAAACATTTTTTTTTTGAAGAAGAGTGTTCCCAAATGAGAACATATGAGAATAAGAAAATACAGAGCAGATAATTCTTTTTTATGTCCTTGGTACCTGATAGTTTCAATCAATAGCTATTGTCCTACCAACTGAGTCATACCTCTAAACCCAAAAGTCCTTACAATATTCAAATTTTTCATTGATTTCTTCATATTTTCTATTTACTTTTTCGTGTGTGTGTGTGTGTGTGTGTGTGTGTGTGTGTGTGTGTGTGTGTGTGTGTGTAAGAAATGGAGTGTGATCACAGGATCCAGGTGCTATCCCTGAGCTTCTGTTTTGCTCAAGAGTACACTCTACCACTTGAGACAAAGCTTCACTTCTGGATTTTCTTGAACAGTTTATGGGAGATAAAAGATTCACAGGGAGGTTTTTGCACCACTAGATTCAAATCATCATCTTCAGGTCTAAGCCGCTGGAGTAGGTAGTATTATAGGCATGAGTCAAGGCTTCTGGCTTATGAATTTTTGTCCCTTTTTTAAAAAGATGGTGCCAGTGGCTCATGCCTGTAATCGTAGCACCACAGGAAGCTGAGATCTGATAATTGAGGTTTAAAGACAACCTGGGTAAGAAAGTCTGTGAGACTATTATCTCATAAACTGGTTAGCAAGAAACCAGAAGGGGCACTGGCTCAAACTGGTAGAGTGATAGCCTTGAGCACAAAAAAACAAGGACTGCCCCCAGGCCCTGAGTTCAAGCCCCACATATAAAAATATGTAAAAAAAATTGCAATCACTTGTAATCTCAACATCTTCAATTGGTGGTGTATTTAAAGTTAATTTGCATCTCACTTCGTATGTATTTGAGGGGGAACTAAACATATAACATTTTTTTAAAAAAAATGAGCAGCTGGGTTCAGGTGGCTCATGCCTGTAATCCTACCTTTTCAGGAGGCTGAGAAATGAATATGGTGGTTTAAAGACAACCTGGGCAGAAAAGTTCCCATGAGACTGCTATTTCCAATTAACCACTAAGTGGTTTAAACTGGTATGGTAGAGTACTAGCATTGAGCAAAGGAGTTCTGGGACAATATCCATGCCCTGTGTTCAAGTCCCATGTCTGAAGGACAAATAGAAATCAGGTCTGGGAAGTTGGCTCAGTGCTAGAGTGTTTGCCTTGCATGTGGAACCTTTGGGTTCAATTCCTCTGTACCACATAAGCAGAAAAAGCCAGAAGTGGCACTGTTGCTCAAGTGGTAGAGTGCAAGCCTTGAGGTGAAGAGCTACGGGACAGTGTCCAGGCCAGAGTTTAAGATCCATGATGGATAAAAAGCAAACAAACAAAAATAATTCAAACATTTAAATGATGTGCACAATAGACTATACACTAAAGATGAAAGATTAAATTAATGAATTAATAATTAAAGTGACCAACATTGTTTCGATTTTGTAAGTGGTGAATATAGCAGAAAAAGTGATAAGAAATAATGATTCATTTCTAACTCATATTGTTTTAAACTCATTTACTACTTTTAAACTAAAGGGGCACATAAGTATCATTTTACAAAAAAAAACAAAAGTTGTACATGTATTTCAGCCTGAATTCCACATTTTATAATCTTCCTTTTAGTAAATAATCAGTATCTTTTCATATAAAATACCTGTAATCCCTTTATTTAATACTTATCATTCTAGTATTTGATTATATCATAATTCCTCCCTTACTTCTTTTCTTCACATCCTTTCCTCCTTTCTATACTAGCAGTTAAATTAAGGGCTTCATGCACTTAAGGTAGGTCCTCTAAAAGGTGAGCCACATGCCTGCTCTTTTTGCTTTAGTCCCTTTTTTTTTTTGGTCATGTGGCTTGAACTCTGGGCCTGGAGACTGTCCTTGCACTCTTCAGCTCAAGGCAAGTGCTCTACTGTTTGAGCCACAGTGCCACTTCTGATTTTCTGGTGGTTTAATGGAAATAATAGTCTCACAGATTTTCCTGCCTAGACTGGCTTTGAACTGTGATTTTCAGATCTCACGTCCTGAGCAGCTAAGATTACAGGCATGAGCCCCCGGCACCCAGCTCTGCTTTATACTTTTTTTGGGGGGGGGGCTGAACTCTGGGCCTGGCCACTGTCCCTCAGCTCTTCAGCTCAAGGCTAGCACTCTACCACTTGAGCCACAGTTCCACTTCCGGACACAATATATATTGGACAATATATAATGGACACAAATAATGGAAATTTGAATCGAATGATGGCATTGCAGCTTTTCAGGAAATTTGAGGTAACAATAAATATGTCCTCCTTTCCATGTTGTTTCATTAATCATTAACGACTCATGAGCTATGGGACCCTTACATTAGCATCCTCTGCCATCTGTGTAG